CTCCACAAGGTCCTCTCCACAATTTCTCTGTATTTTGCTCCATCTCTAACCAGTTTCCCAGTTCCATCCCCACAGCATGATGCTGCCACCACCATGTAGGGATGGTCTCAGCGTGATGAGAGGAGGTAGATTTGTCTCAGACGTGGTGTTGTCCTTGATGATCCAGCACCTTCTTCCACAGGTTTACACAGGTTAATCCAAACACGTCCACTCGTCCATGAAATCGAGCTCTGTTCAGCTTCCAGTGGTCCGCTGGACAGATCCTCCATCTTCCAGCTCTTTCAGGGTTATCTTTGTCCTCCTGGATGTTTCTTTGATCCATGTTCTTCTTACCCGGTCTGTGACTTTTGGTGGTCGTCCCTCTCTTGGCAGATTTGCTGTGGTGACATCACCTTTCTGTTTCCTAACAATGGATTTAATGACGCTCTGTGGGATGTTCAGGGTTAAGATGCATTTTATAAACAAACTCTGATCTTACTCCTCCATAGACCTGTGTGGAGAGCTCCTTGGTCTTCATGATGTCTCACTGGATGGTAGAGGAACTGGTGTTGGACCATCCAACCAACAAACAGACGAAAAATTGTCCCAGTATTCAAAGGGTGTTCATGCAATGAAATGATTTTATTATTTTTGAGATCGGGGGGAATGGCTCCGTAGTTCGGAGCTTTAACCCGAAGTGATCGAACGTTAGAACACGGTGTGATTCTGTTCGTGTAACGAACCCGTTTTAGTTTGGACCAAAATCACCACACAAATGAAGAAAATAGGAGAGATATTGCAGATTGGACCGGTTCTGGTGCTGGTTCTGGTACTGGTTCCGTATCAGGCGCAAGTCTATGAGATAGAGATCAGTTAGTGGTCGTGCAGGAGATTATGGCAGAAAAGTCAAATAAGAAGGACCACTAACCATCTCAGATGATCCTGGGGGTTCTGGAGAGTAACGAAGTCCAAACTGATCCGGACCGCTGCAGGAGAGGCTGAGTCCGGTGAGGGGCTGCAGCTGGCCGCAGCGACAGGTGGGTGGTGAGTCCGTTGAGCGCAGAGACGTAGTCACACAAGCCTGGGTCCAAAACCGGAGAGCAGATGACAGGAGGTACCGGAGGAGAAGACGAGGAGGCGTAGTCGTGCAGGCAAAGGTCAGAACCGAAGACAGAAGACGTGGTAATCCAATGGGTCGAGCGAAAGACGATGTCCAGGTAAGTCGTGGGTTCAGGAGCCGGGAGGTCAAGCCAAGAGGGAAGGACAGGAACCAGGAGAGGGACAGGAACGAGGAGACAGGTAAACTATGACAAGGGGACATGAAAGGCTAAAGGGGAACAAGGCAGGATGAGTAACGTGAGGTATCTACTTACAGTGAACTGTTTTCAACTACCGGGCACCGAAGAGGAGAAAGAGTGCAGCTTTTAAAGGGTGAGAGTGACAGGTGCAGCCAGTTGAGCTCTAATCAGCTGCTGCTGGCTGCCGTGAAGACAAAACTAAACAACCGTGACATCACCCTCAACCAGCATGCAAAGAAGACAAACTAAAACTCACGTGTATATAAAAAAACATTACCTGAGTGGACAGAATGAATGAAACTTACAGAAAAGATCTATTGCAAACGTTAAAGAGTGATCAGGGTGACAGAAAATATAATCTATGGAACGTGATTCGTGACAGTTCGTTTCGCTCCAGTCTGTCCAGAACCGCCCAACGTCATCGCAATCATAGGAGGCTCCATTGCAGCTGTGGCCATCATCGGCATCCTGCTGCTGATGCTCATCAAGCTAGTGATCCACGTGAAGGACCTGAAAGAGTTCAAGAAGTTTGAAAACGAGAAGAAGAAGTCCAAGTGGGCCGAGGTGAGAACGTTCATGCTTAACTGTCACTGTTTCCAAGAAGAACAATCTGAAGAGGAAGTGTTTGGAGAACATTTAGGTTCTTACTGTGTTGTTGCTTTTTAAATCTGTAGTTCCGTGTGCCGTTAGCAACAAAACCAAGTGTTTGGTGACATTTTCTTATTGGGGAGTGGACCGTCTGAAGGCACCACCAAATATTATCCACCTGACAAGGGTCTCGCTCTTCCATCAACTTTAATGCAGCCTGGACCACGTGTCCCCCCAGCCCCCACAAACGTTACATCAAAATGACCGGCTCGGCACCGGGATGTGTGCTGTTATTTTATTGGCGTTTTGAGTTACCATGGCGATGTAATTTGTAAACGAGGATGCCATTTTTCCTCAGAAAACAGAAAATTGACTATAACCCAGTCATTCTTTGAGATACTGAGCTGAAATCTGGTTTGGTCGTAGATGAGAGTCGTTATACTTTTTAATGCCAATCAAAAATCCAAGATGGCTGCCTTAGCTAAAAGAGAAAACATAACTTAGCCATTTTAGAGTTAAGTTGAAAACTTGATGTGGTGGTAGCTGAGAGCAATGCAATAAATACGGAATTCAAATAAACAAATCCAAGATGGCCACCTATTAAACTATTAAATGTATTTTATCTATAGAATGTGATCATTAAATGTTCATCACAACTGATAAATTTATTGAGTTGCGTTTTACAGTCCTTCAAGAAACGCTAAGTCTCAATTCTGATCAGCGCCAGTAATCTGCTGAGTCATGTCTCAAT